GGCTGAGTTTGGAAGCAGAGAGAGCAGGGGACACTGCCCCCCTAGTCTTTTAAAAGAAGAATGAACAGTTCTTCCCTGTTCATGTTTTTGTTTCTTCAACAGGGAAGAGTGGGCAGGTCTAAGACAAACATGCTGAGCACATTCTGTCAGGAAGGACAGACAGGGAAAAAAGGGAGGAGGGGTTGCCTTGTATATTAAAAATGTACACACTTGGACTGAAGTGGAGATGAACGTAGGAGATAGCTGTGTAGAGAGTCTCTGGGTTAAGCTAAAAGGGGTAAAAAACGAGGGTGATATCATGCTAGGAGTCTACTACAGGCCACCTAGCCAGGTGGAAGAGGTGGATGAGGCCTTTTTTAAACAATTAACAAAACTATCCAAAGCCCAAGATTTGGTGGTGATGGGGGACTTCAACTATCCAGACATATGTTGGGAAACTAACACAGCGAGGCACAGGCTATCCAATAAGTTTCTGGACTGCATTGGAGACAACTTTCTGTTTCAGAAGGTTGAAAAAGCTACCAGAGGAGAAGCTGTTCTGGATTTGGTTTTAACAAATAGGGAGGAACTAGTTGAGAACTTGAAAGTGGAAGACAGTATAGGGGACAGTGATCATGAAATAATAGAGTTCATGATCTTAAGGAAAGGTAGAAGGGAGACCAGCACAATTGAGGTTATGGATTTCAGGAAGGCAGATTTTGATAAGCTCAGAGAACTTGTAGGTAAGGTCCCATGGGAAGCAAGACTGAAGGGAAAAACAACTGAGGAGAGTTGGAAGTATTTCAAAGGGACGTTGTTAAGGGCCCAAAAGCAAACAATTCCGCTGTGTAGGAAAGATAGAAAATATGGCAAAAGACCAGCTTGGCTTAACAAGGAGATCTTGCATGATCTCAAAATAAAAAAGGAGTCATATAAAAAATGGAAACTAGGACAACTAACAAAGGATGAATATAGGCAAGCAACACGGGAATGCAGGGGCAAGATTAGAAAGGCAAAGGCACAAAATGAGATCAAACTAGCTACAGGCATAAAGGGAAACAAGAAGACCTTTTATAAATACATTAAAAGCAAGAGGAAGACCAAGGACAGGGTAGGCCCACTGCTTAGTGAGGAGGGAGAAGCAGTAACAGGGAACTTGGAAATGGCGGAGATGCTCAATGACTTCTTTGTTTCGGTCTTCACCGAGAAGTCTGGAGGTGTGCCTAACGTAGTGAATACAAGCAGAGAGAGGGTAAGTTTAGAAGATAGGATACACAAAGAACAAGTTAAAAATCACTTAGGAAAGTTAGATGTCAGCAAGTCACCAGGTCCTGATGAAATGCATCCCAGGATACTCAAGGAGCTGATAGAGGAGGTATCTGAGCCTTTAGCTATGATCTTTGAAAAATCATGGCAGACAGGGGAGATTCCAGAAGACTGGAAAAGGGCAAATATTGTGCCCATCTATAAAAAGGGGAATAAGAACAACCCAGGAAATTATAGACCGGTCAGTTTAACGTCTGTCCCAGGGAAGATAATGGAGCAGGTAATTAAGGAAATCATATGCAAACACTTGGAAGGTAATAAAGTGATAGGGAATAGCCAGCATGGGTTTGTGAAGAACAAGTCATGCCAAACTAATCTGATAGCTTTCTTTGATAAGATAACGAGCCTTGTGGATAAGGGAGAAGCGGTGGATGTCATATACCTAGACTTTAGTAAGGCATTTGATACGGTCTCGCATGATATTCTTATTGATAAACTAGGCAAATATAACTTAGATAGGGCCACGATAAGGTGGGTGCATAATTGGCTGGATAACCGTAGTCAGAGAGTTGTTGTTAACGGTTCTAAATCCTGCTGGAAAGGGATAACAAGTGGAGTTCCTCAAGGGTCTGTTTTGGGACCCGTACTGTTCAATATCTTCATCAATGATGTAGATATTGGGATAGAGAGTACTCTTATTAAGTTTGCAGATGATACCAAACTGGGTGGGGTTGCAACTTCTTTGGAGGATAGGGACATAATTCAAAATGACCTTAGCAAGTTAGAGAAATGGTCGGAGGTAAACAGGATGAGGTTTAATAAGGAGAAATGCAGAGTGCTCCACTTAGGAAGGAACAATCAGTTCCATACATACAAGATGGGAAGCGACTGTCTAGGAAGGAGCATGGCGGAAAGGGATCTAGGGGTCATAGTGGACCACAAGTTGAATATGAGTCAACAGTGTGATGCTGTTGCCAAAAAAGCAAATATGATTCTAGGTTGTATTAACAGGTGTGTTGTAAGCAAAACTCGTGAAGTCATTCTGCCGCTCTATTCTGCACTAGTTAGGCCTCAGCTGGAGTACTGTGTCCAGTTCTGGGCGCCACATTTCAAGAAAGATGTGGAGAAATTGGAAAGGGTACAGAGAAGAGTGACAAGAATGATTAAAGGTCTAGAGAAGCCTATGAAGCCAGGCTTCATGAACTGGGCTTGTTTAGTTTGGAAAAAAGAAGATTAAGGGGGGACATGATAGTGGTTTTCAAATATCTAAAAGGGTGTCACAAGGAGGAAGGTGAAAATTTGTTCCTCTTGGTTTCTGAGGACAGGACAAGGAGTAATGGGCTTAAAGTGCAGCAGGGGAGGTTTAGATTGGACATTAGGAAAAAATTCCTAACTGTCAGGGTGGTCAAATATTGGAATAAATTGCCAAGGGAGGTGGTGGAATCTCCCTCTCTGGAGATATTTACGAACAGGTTAGATAGACATCTGTCAGGGATGGTGTAGACGGAGCTTGGTCCTGCCTTGAGGGCGGGGGGCTGGACTTGATGACCTCTCGAGGTCCCTTCCAGTCCTATAATTCTATGAATCGTTTCTCTTGAGCAGAAATTACTGATCATTCCTAATTGCCTGAATTGTTAACCGAGCTCAAATCTTCAAAAGTATATTGTTCCTTTTACTAGTTCCCTGTTTGAATACATGCATCCTCAATTACATCAGAATTGGCCCGAGTACACATATAGCACATAGTTAAAAACTGTTCGTTGAACAAAACTGTCACTATAGAATAGATCAACTTTTACAAAGTGTCTAAACAGCTAATCAAAATTCTGTTTAACTGTAGTTTCAGGAACTTAGTATAAGTAGGGTCCAACCAAATTATCTGCCATGAAAAAATGTCACAACTGTGAAACCTAGTCTTTTGTGTGCTTTTATTCTATAATATGCAGATTTCACAGAAAAGAAGCAGTGTTTCTCAAATTGGGGGTCCTGATACAAAAGAGAGTTGCAGGGGGATCAATTGCAAGGGGATTAGAAGGTTATTTAGGGGGCGTTTGCAGAATTGCCACCCTTACTTCTGGTGCTGCCTTCAGAGCTGAATGGCTGGAGAGTGGTTGTGGTCGTTCAGGTACCCAGTTCCGAAGATGTTGTTGGCAGCAGCACAGAAGTAAAGTTGGTGATTCCATCCCACCTCATTCTTATTTCTGTGCTGCCAGCAATGGCTTTGCCTTCAGAGTTTGGATCCTAGCCAGCAGCCACCGCTCTACAGCTGTCCAGCTCTGAAAGCAATGTTTCTGCCAGCAGCTACACAGAGGTAAGGGTAGATGTTCCACAACTCTCCCACCCTACAATAACCTTGCAACACATCCACAACTCCTTATGGTCAAAATCCCTACATGTGCCACACACTGAAATTTCAGATTAAAATAGCTGAACACATGATATTTATTATGTTTAAAATCCTACAACTGTGAAATTGACCAAAATGGACCATGAATTTGGTAGGGCCCTAATCATAAGGTATGTCAAAACACTGGCATGATAACTTACATAATAATAAAACAAAACCAGTGAAACCATGAACCTATTTGTTGGAACTTCAGTCTGGAATGGACTTTGCTACAGTGGTTACATCTAGACTGCAGGCTTCTTGCGCAAGAAGCTTTTATCAGAAGAAATATTCCACAAAAACTTCTTGCACAAGAGCACATCCACACTGCAAAAGCGCATTAAAAAAGCAATGCACTTTTGCGAAAGAGAGCGTTCAGACTGCATGAATGCTCTCTCAAAAGTAAGCACTGACTGGTATGCATAGAATGGCCACCAGGGTACTTGTGCATTTTCCTCTTTTTGCGCAAAAAGAACTCTTTTGCAAAAAAGCTTCTTCCTCATGGAAAGAGGAATACCAATTGTGCAAAAACCCCTCCATTCTTTCAATTTTTTTGCCCAAAAATGCGCTTGAGCTGTGGATGCTCCACAAGTTTTTTTTGAAAAACGGCCATTTTTCCGAAAAAAATCTCTGTAGTATAGACAAAGCCTGTGTGGTATATACAGAATTGTAGCAATGCTTGATGTATTTCAACATGAATTAATGTTCTACAGATATAGCACAGCATTGGTTTTCCAAAGATACATTTCTTGTATCTTCCTTTTAAGTACATGGCAGAGTTGGCAGAGAATCAAGTGACTTTTTAAATCTTTATTTTAGTTATCAGACGTAAGAGGGAAAGAACAGGTGAAAGACAAAACCATCCCCACAGCGAAAACAAGCCTCCTTCATTAATTCAAAAACTTTTGGCTGATTTTTTTTTCTTAGTTGCAAGCACACTGAAAACCCACAGATAGCCTACAAAGTCTAACAGGACAGGAGTGGGGAACGTAAGGCCCTGGGACTGGATACAGCCCCTGGCTTGCCTGGATTTGGCTTTACCCCCCAGCATCAGAGATCCTGAACTAGTGCTCCAGTCCTGCACCTTCCCCTCCCCCTGCATGGGGCTGGAGCACCAGCAAGGACTCCCTACCGCAGGGGTGGGGGGAAAAGGGTAGCCCTGAGCTTCACAGGACCGGAGTCAGGCAAGCCATGGCTGGACCCAACCCAAAGGCTCTGACTGGTGGGGGGAAGAAGTGGCTCCATGCACTGCCACTCCCCATCTCGCCGGCTGGGGAAATAGCAGGGCAGCAAAGTGCTGCCTGGCGGCTTTTCCCATGCCACTTTGTTTGGTCATAATTGCGACCAATAGGAACAGCAGGGGGCAGTGTTTGGGGGCAGCAGGGGACATGGAGCCATGTGTGTCCTTAGGGAGCTGCGCCAGGTAAGTGCCTCCACATTGTCTAGACTCTGCACCACTCCTCCCGCCCAGACCCCCCCATTCCCAGGCCGCTACTGCATCCTATTTCCCACCCATCCCTTCCTCACTCCCCAACTCCACACCCAAGCCCATCAGTGAGGGGTTTTGTTTTTGGGGGTTTTTTTGCTCCTCACTTTTGTGTGGCCGCCAACTGATTTTCTGTGGGTCAGTGGCTTCTGACCCAAAAAAGATTCCCCACACCTATGCTAACAAGATACTAACTTACTACTTTTTAACCTAAGTATTAAAATATGTTTCTTAGAAAAGTAGTTCATAGAACATATTTCCTGGAATTTTATTCCAGAATTAAAATTTAAATTTAGTGCCGTCTCTGACATCCTCTGCAAGGCTTCCTTGTACTTTGGCACTATCACAAAGTTTTTTTTCTTCTAAGTGCTCTTGATATGCACAGTTCATATCTGTGGTTTCATCTACCCTTTGCATATAATTTTCTTCACAATTCCTGGATGGCCAGGAATGTGACTTTTGAAGTGCTCTTGTAGAATTTTGATGTATTTTTGTGTTGAGAATTGAGCAAGTGTTGTTCTGAGAACACAAATATGCAAGATCATTTGATTTGTGAGATTCTGAAGCCGTATCCAGATGGTTCTTCAGAGTAATGCCCTCTCCTGAAAAACTGTTTTCTTTACTGTGCATTGATGCATCTTCTTTTTCTTCCAATGCACGAGCTAGCATATAACTAACCTTTCTTTGATGAGCCAAAGCCTCTTCTTTATCATTCAGCTGTATTCACATTAAAAAGAAAAAAGAAAACTAGTTTATAAATTATTCCTTAGAACTACATCATATGAGAGTCAACAGTATTTGTTTGATCAGAGGGAACTAAGGTAACTTAAATCAATATGCCTTTGCAAGATTTTAAGATACTAACCAAATCTATTAGCATCCTAAGGATTTCATGAGGATTATCCAAGTCTTCCATTTTCCTACAGTCAGTATCAGAGATAAGCATACCCGTCAACTTTTGACCCAGATTTTTCTTGTTCCCTTGCACCATACCAAGTCCTGAAAAAAGGAACAGACTTCATTTGAAATACACAAGGACATAAAAAACTAGTATTCTTTAAGCAAACAAGATGCTGACTTTGGGATAAAATGTACATTTACAAAATAAGATATGGAAGGAACTACCACCTTATAAAGCAGTAATCCAAATTATAGTTGACTTTCATTGGACACAATATGGCAAATGGTTTTGCAAGCAATGCTGCCCAAGCCCACACCAATGATAAAATAATCTTTTGCTGCAAATATGGGTCAACAAAATGGAAACTTCTGGAACTGCATGAGAAATTCATTTTGGCTCTTGTTTAAAGCCTATGAAATTCTTGACATCCACCGATGAAAAAAAAAAAAAAACACACATAAGAGGCTAGGTATTATTATAACAAACAATTCCTATTTGTTTTGGGTTTTGTTTTTATAAAAAAGGGACACTGTGTATGCTGTATTAAAGAAGATTTTGTGAAAGAAATGTAAGTAGTTTATAAGTCTTAAACTACTACATATTTTATATATATATATATATATATATATATTAATTTAAATGAAGATAAAAATAAAGGGTAAGCTATCCTGAGGTAAGTTTAGACGTATATGCTAAATATTGAACTATATAAAAAAAAAGGGTATGGACATTTTAAATTCTTTTTATGATCAGGACACATAATTAGTGAACAAAGACATCAGACTAATCATTAATTTCCTGCAAATTTCCTGCAGGATCCATACAACCTACCCATGCCCTCTACACAACCTCATGGCACACATCAGCGGTATATAGAGCTGCACAAACTTGTGGTGCAATGGAATCAGATGTATGGCAAATTGTTGCCAATATGCTGTGCAAATGTTTCAGTGTAGCCACCGTGGAGGCTGCTACAGGAGAGGGGTGATACCCCAGACTGATCCCACCATCCCTGATATGGATAAGAATTCTTGTCAAAGTATGAGTTCCTGTCATGATGCAGGGGGAAATTCTGCATCGAAAAGTAGGAGACCATCTGGTTTATCTTGCTCAATGTTCTTTAATGGGGCAGAGGGACCCAACAGAAAAGGATGGAGAATCCCACAAGGTAATATTGAGAGTCAGCATTCTTGAAACAGCAGAATTCCTGTGGTACCAAGTAAATTGGTACTAATGCAGCAGTTGAAATGAAGAGTAATGTTCATCTGGAGCATTTAGATGCTGGGGCTGACGGTATCTGGTGCTTTGATTTTGCTGGTACTGATGAACCAGAAATACAGGACACCATTGCTAAGTCTGATGTAGGTGATGCCGTTCTACAGGAGTGGATGTCCTCGGCCACTCTGACCTTCACAGATGGTATCAAGGAGCTGTGCTTCTCTAAAGTGCTCCAAGATCTCCCAGCCACACAGATACCAAACAAAGAGTCCTTCACCTATGTGATACTGAGTCAAGGAGGCAAGGCATCTGACAATGTGGACTTAGCAAGAGATTGGCGCCTTTTGGGAGCTAATTCTTGTGGTGGGAGACCAAGAGTCCTCTTCCTTAGTATCTTCCCTGAGTCCTTCACTCTCTTCTCCCCCTTAGAGGAGACATTAGCCAGGATTGAAGGGGCACTGGAGACAGATGTATAGGAGGCAGTCCCTTGGCCTAATTCAGAAGAGGCTGCAGGGAACAGTCCATCATCCAAAGCATCAGTTTGGTCTTCTGATTTTTCTATGCTCTAGATTTTAGAACCAAGAAAAAGCTACTTTTGTAATACATAGAATTCCTCCAAGCAATAGCAGCACTTAGACTGGCTATCAATGAAACTAGACACACTACACCAAGGGTCTGTAACCTATGGCTCTAGAGCTAAATATGGCTCAGTATGGAATCAAATATGGCTCTTCTCTCATTCCCAAAATACAGTTCATGACAGAGCTATGAAAATGGACCATCAAATTGACAAGGAACAAATGCAAAACTGGAGTACAGCTACTTATTTTTTGCTTCCTTTGGACAAGACAACTGACATGTGTGATGCTAATCATTGTATATTCTTGGACGATATATTTGTGGAAATGCTGTGCATGAAGAAATGACTGAGATATTGCCAATGAAAAATCAAGCAAGGGTCGAAGACATCCTTAAAACTGTAGTGAACTTTGTAAACAAGAAAGAAATACAGTTGGATAATCTTCTGTTAGTGTGTACAGACTAGGTGCACCTTACATGGTCAGCAGATACAGGGGATTTCTTACTCTTTTGTCAGAACAGCTGAACTGCCCACTTTTGAACTTTCATTGCATTGTGAATCAGGAGGCACTTTGTGTGCAATCTTGTGGAACCGAACTCAGAAATGTAATGGGACTGGTTGTTCACATTGTTAATTGGATTCTTGCACAAGCCTTTAATAACCATTAATTTCCATCACTGCTCAAGAAAGTAGATTCTGAATACCCCAATCTAATAATGCACAGCAATGTTCGGCTGGTTATCTCATGGCCAAGTTTTGTCTCGTTTTGCCGCCTGCATTAATGAGATTAAGTAATTGTATATGAAGGGTATCAAAAGCCCTGAGCTTTCAGACTGAGACTGATTGCTCAAGTTTTACTATCTCGTCTACATTACTGGTCATTTGAATGAGTTGAACCTTAAGCTACGAGGGCAAGGAAATACAGTCCTAACTCTGCAACAGGCAGTTTTTAGATATGAGTCAAAATAGACTGTCTTCATCAAAGATAATGAGATGGACAGACTGGCACATTCTGAAAGATTACAAATGTTTTGTGATTTGTGTCAGAGAGAGAATCCAAATAACAGCCTTGATTTGCAGCAGCTTGCCAGGTTTGTTTCTGAGCTCCTGATGGTATTCAAGTCTTGTATTGTTCACTTTTACAAACACAATGCTCTGTTTAAGTTTATGATTCGTCCACATAAAGCATCCATTGAAGAACTAGATCTGACAGTCATTCCAGGTACTGGAGGCCCTCGACTTGCAACGCAATTGGTTCTGGGGGAAGTGTCACAAGTTGTGGGAGTCATAACTTGAATCTCCATTTACGATAGGTGCCGTGCACTGTCATAAATGCGGGCCAAGAATGTAAGTCAGGGGTTTTCGGCCCCTTCCACACTTACAAAAATGGTTGTAAGTGCGGGAGGTCGGATCTCAGGCAGTTGCAAGCTGGGGGCCTCCTGTATCTGAGTCAGCAATTTGGAAATGGAAATAGCAGATTTCAAGGAGTCGGATATCTGGATGGAAAAATTCATCAAGCTGCATTCTGATTAAGAATGCCTTGCTCGGCAACGTACAGAATTGGCAAATTTGAACAAATGAGCTGATGTGAAGGAGCATGATGATAATCTGATTCTGCAAAGCTGGGAAGAACTTCCCGTCACATACACCATGCAGAATGTCAGGTAGGCCTTACTTTCAATGCTTTGCTCCACCTATGTGTGTGAGCAGGCTCTCTCTCATTTGAATCACATCAAAGGTAATTTGCGCTCAAGACTGACACAAGACAGCCTGAATGAGTGCATGAAGCTGAATTTGACCAGTATGATGTAAACTTCAAAGAAATGTGCAAAAAGATGCAGCAGCAGAAGACCCATTTAATAAAGTCCTCGAGTACAATGTTTCATTTATGCTATTCTTAATCATCATGTCAATTATCAATAATATTATGTTGTATACTTTCAGTCATGCAAATGGGCAATCTTATATTGGCTCTCTGTTCACCACTTGTTCTGAATTTTGACGTAGTTTGGCTCTTTGGTTTGAAAAGGTTGTGTACCCGTGCACTAAACTAACCAGAGAACAACAGCAAAAGATGACAGATGTGACAGAGCAGGTTAAAGGGCTCGATAGAAGGGGAGAAAGGCAACTCTAGAAAAAATAGCAACAGCCCTCATTAATTAGGAGCAGCTGAGGCAGGGCAGCTATAAATCAATTAAAGGCCAGGTGAGCTGACTTCAGAGTGCCACAGGACCTCTTTAAAAAGCTTCCCAGTGGGGAAGGAGGAGAGGGAGTGGAGAAGGAGTTTGGAGAGTGGAGATGGAGAGGAGCTAACAATTGATAAGGAGAATCAGAGAAGCTGAGCAGAACAACATCAGCACTGCCAAAGGCTGTGAGGGGCTCTGACAGGGACTGTTTGGATACTCCCTTCCCCCCATGTGGCCAGAAACTTTGGCAGGTGTCTGAGAAGAACTGTTTACTCAGCCCCAACTGGCCAGGGGCATCGGCCCCAACACCAATTTGTTTTGCCAAGGGGCAGAAGGAAAACACTGAGAAAAGGCAAGTGGGATTTGTACCATGGCCCCTAAACTGCAGGATAATGGGTGGAACAAGGGTCTGGGACCCAGGAGTGGGACTGCCACTGCCACATGGGGCATGCACAACTGAACATGCTAGAGCTCCATCTTAGGCTCAGGTTGTAAAAAGGAACTGAGGGTGATTTGCCTGTTATATAACCATGATGTGTAACATGAGGTTGTATAGAAAGCATGTGAGATCTGAACAGATACTGCCTATGCAAAATCTCCAATCAAGGGTTCAAGAGGCACATGTGTACCTGAAGTAACTGAAGTGGAACATTACTCAAAAAAGAACAAACATTTCCTCTGCAATATTTATAATATTTACACTATGCTACAATAGAATAACCTAAAAGTGAGATTGATAAAAAGACCAGTCTATTTTCATGGTTCAAGCTGAGTGCACAAGATAAAACAAATATAATAAATGGTGTAAAATAGGAGAGAATTTGCTAGTCCCTGCAATTTTAATATCCAATGTTATAAGTGCCATAGTTAAAGATTTTTTTCAGTGATACTATTCAGATGGTATCCTTTGAAGACAAGATTAAAAAAAACTGAATTGAAAAACCTAGACTGGTATATCCTATATGCTTTTACAGTTATTGCTGGGGATTACAATCAAGTGCGATTCATGTACAGAAGACCAAAATAAAAGTTGTGAAACCTCCAGCAGAAAAATCTCTAACTAGATGATACTATATTGTGATGTATTTGCAGTTTTTACATGACATTTCCCATTTTCTTGATTCTCAGGATTCCTACATCAGCAATTGGATCCCAGTTGTAATGAAACAGAATGCTGTAACTCTTCAGTAAATCTATCCTCTTTCCTACAGATACTTATTAATTTTTCTTAAATTCCAACAATAAAAAATTATAAAACATGACATTTACCGTTCTCTCTGAGGCGTTTCCAGTTTATAAGTTTTGTTTCTTTTTTACAGATCTTATTCACTTGCGTGAGCCGCAAAGCCTGGTCCTTTCTCTGCATTAACTGCTGCTCAAATGCAATTCTGAAGGCATCTGCCATTATATATGCTTCTTCTTTACTCTTCTTCAGAGCATCACACTATTTTTAGTTAAGGGAAAATTAGAATGCATTACACAAATCAGGAAGCCAAAATAGTCTCAAAAAATCAGACTGTCTGTTAATACAGTATAGCAGAACATCTTATGCTATCATTGAAAGAGCATTGCCAACTCAGCCATGCACGTACGAGGCCTCCCTGGGTGAACTGAGGTACAGGAGGAGCTCACCAGATACGATTAAGGAAGTGAAGACATTAGTCCTGCCTTTAAAACAATCGTGGGTTTTTTTTTTAAGAAAAACTAAAGATTAGCTTTCTAAAAGAATAATTGTTAGGTGGGGATTGAAATCTTTACAGAGAGGCTGTGTCTACATTGGCGCGATCTTGCGCCAAAGCGGCCGCTTTTACACAAAAACATGCTGCCTGTCTACACTGCTGGGGAGCTTTTGCCCAAGAACACTGACATTCTAATGTGTGAAATCAGTGCTTCTTGCACAAGAACTATGATGCTCCCGCTCAGGAATAAGCCCTCTTGCGCAACTGTTCTTGTGCAAGAGGCCGGTGTAGACAGGCAACATGAATTTCTTGTGCAAGAAAGCCCAATGGCTAAAATGGCCATCGGAGCTTTCTTGCGCAAGAGAACGTCTACACTGGCACAGATGCTCTTGCGTAAAAGCACATCTCTTGCGCAAAGGCACATGCCAGTATAGACGCTCTCTTGCACAAATACTGTAACGCAAGAACTCTTGCGTTAAAGAGTATTTGTGCAAGATCATGCCAATGTAGACGTAGCAAGAGAGAGTAAGAGAGCATACGTAACACTTTATATGGTAGAGTTTGCAATGAAACCTTCGGCATGGGTCCCAGAAAGGAGGATTCACTGTAGCAATGAAGCCACCTCCCAGGAGCTGGCTGAGTTTAACACCATTAACCAATAAGCATCAACTTACTGGGTAAACAGCCGGTTAAACTTTTAACAGCCCTAGTACGCACCACAAACACACACACATATGCATACATACACACACACACACACACACACATTATCTTCACTAATTGGCTCTCTTACAGGACTGTTTTACTACGTCCCTCCAGGACAGCTGAAAGAGAAGCAGGAGAGTTGCATGCCAGTTGTGTTCAGCACAGCTGTCACAAGTAGGTTGTGAACATATGCAAGAAAGTTCTATGTTCTATTTTAAAGTCAAATTCCAAGAATGTCCTTGTAAAAGAGCAGCACTGCTCCACTGTCAATTAAATATAATACACAATATATACTCTATTGGACTAGAGTACCCATAAGGCACTTATAAGGATTACAAGGGATGCAGCAACTGAATCGAAGATTAATACAATCAAATCTAGCAAATCTAGTCTTGTTTTACAAAACCTTTCGTGGATAAAGCAAGCTTTTTTTTTATATCATATAAAACATTAACTTATATTAACCGATTACATTTGGGCTCCAATACAGCCAAGAATACTTGCTGCTATTTTCAACTTCTCTTTGAATCCTAGGAATGATCATAATGTTCTATTCAGATATGGTGAATTTGCACCAGAAAAATGAAAAAAAGCTATGAAGCTGTGTATGTATTTCATGTTTTTCCCCTTTACTGATCAATAATAATTTTAAACTATCCATTTGCTTTAAAACCACCACAACTTTTAAAGTGCTGATAATTAAAATTTGGAGAAAATGTGGACACAGGTTTAAAGGCTGCTGCATCTTGCACACACTCAATTGTAATTTGTGGCAAAGGTTATAAGAAAAATAAGGGAGTTGTCCCTCTGAATTCCACAGAAGGAGGGGAGCTTAAAAATACCAGCAACTTGGTTTTAAGAAAAAATTATGCCTGGACTATAAGATTGCATGAGTCGTAAAAGTGCTATTTTTGATCTCTAGGGTGCTATCTTCCTCCATGTAAAATTGCCACACTGAATACCTGAAATTAGTGCTGAAAAACTGATTTGGAAGCAAAAGGATTTCTCTGCCTCTCATGAAGCTCCCCTCTCTCTGGGAACTGCCAAATTCTCCCTACCAGTGGGGACCTAAATCTAGTAAAATGACTAGCCAGTTTCCTAATAAAGCTATACTAGCAAACCTTCTACTATAGATACAGCTTACACAAACAAGAGTGCTTTTGCTGGTATAGCTTATACTGGTTTCTCAAACAAAATATGCTGTATAGATTAGACTTCCCTGGTCTGGCACCCTCAGGACCTGAGATATCCTGAACCAGCGAATTTTTCTGGATCGGGGAGGTCAGTGTTCCCCTGCTGGCTGCCCCCGCAGTTCCTGTCCTGGGGATTCCCTGCCCCATTTCTGGCCCTGCTAATGCTGGACCAGTAGGGCTCCCTGATCCTGCTGCCCATCCGCTGCCCCAGGATCTCCTGGGGTTCCCCAAGGGAATTGCCTGGCTGCTGCCAGCCCTGCAACCACAGGCTGTTCCCCGGAGTTCCTGGCTGGGGCTGCCCAGCCACCCATCCCCGCTGCTAGGGTTGTCCTGCTGCTGCTGGAGATTCCATGGCTTCCCCGGATGCCCACCTCTGCCAGCCCCGCTTCAGCCAGGAGTTCCCCGGTGGAGGCTCTCTTCTCACCCCAACCCCCCCACTACTACTGGGGGTTTCCCGGGGTTCGTGGCTGGGAGCTGCCTGGTGGCCAGCAGCCCCACTGCAGCCAGGGATTCCCTGGCTGGGGCTGGAGCTCCCCAACCACTGCCTGGCCACCACCTAGCCCCACTGATGCCAGGACTCCCCGGCCACTCTTGGCCCTGTTGATGCCAGGGCTTCCCTGGCCAGGGCAGGGACTCTTCAGGTGTTGCCTGGCCTAGCCAGGGCTCCCCAGTCCCTGCATTGTCTCAGCTGGATCGGGAGCTCTTTGGTCTAGCAACATCCGCAGCTCTGCCAGACCACGGATGTTGCCGGACCACAGAATCTTGCATTTGGGAGGTTCGACCTGTACTGATAAAAGTGCTTCTTTGCCAATATTTCCATTTATACAGTAATTCCTCATTTAACACGTTTTCGTGATAGTGCGATTTTTGGGGGAGAACGTTTGTTGAATTACATGACCGTCCCCAGACTAACACGATTTCCCCAGCCATCCCGTTGCCACCGGCAGCGCAGGGCTTCCCCCACCTCCCTGCAAAGTGGCAGAGGGTTCACCGCTCGCTGCACCATTCCCTGCTGACTCCTCCTCGCCAGACACCTTGCCCTCTCTCCTCCGCCCCCGCTTGCAGGCAGGAGCAGGCCGAGGCTGG